TCATAGTTGAATTTCATCGAATGTCCACATCATAATTAATTGTCTTCTTTGCACGAGTGCCCCATTCTTGAAGCCTTTGCGGTGTTCTATCAATCCATAGTACTGCAATACGGAGTTTTGCAACTGCGCCTTGTCCTCCAGGAAGTGTAATTCTATACTATTTTGCATTGGTAACTCGATCAAGGAATTTTGTGGCGTCTTTATGCGTACTTTGGCCCAAAGAGGCAAGAAATTTGCCAATAATAAGGTTGAGGTTATGTGCAAGACAAGAAATCAAACTGTCTTCGCCTTCAAACCTCATAGATTCTTCGTGAAGTGGAATGTTGCAAAGATGTCGATCAACCTTGCGCTCATGGGTCTTTGATAAGTGGCAACAGCAAGTTTGTTTATTAGAGGCGTTGTCAGCAGTAATTGCAAGAAGCTATTGTCGGATATCAAGAGTTTTGAGAGCATTATGTTAAGGGTTACACCCATAGAGTAGTCTTGGAGTTCTCCAGCGACGTATGCACGTGACTATGGAGCTGCAGGAATCGCACGTGACAGAACCTTCCGGAATCCCCACCTTAGGTATATATATCAGCAAGGTCTGGTCTATAGCGAGTGCAACAACACTCTCTTTCTACGCTCTTCCACGGGTAGCAAAGCATTCACTGAAGTAAGAAGAGTTGAAGTCAAAGATAAGTAAACGTAGATGGCAAAGGTGTCAAGTGTTCATTAATTCTGCTATCGTACAAATCAAACAGCCACCTAGGCAAATCTGCCATGGATTATCGCACTTCCGCCAGGCCCGTCGCCCCTTCTCTGTATCAATACTGCGTATGAATCACCTAGTTCTGTCAGTCTTTCGCTTCACAGGAGATCACAGGGTAGGTGGTTTGCCTTGGATCTTGTCTTCTTCTTCTCAACCTCCTGAGCCTCCTCTTTCCTCGCCTCCTCCTCCACGAAACGTGCCATTTTCTCAGTTCTAGTGGCAGCCATTAGCTGTGCCTCACCAAATTAGATAAGTGGAGACTTACGCATCCTCCTACTCCCTCCCCTCCCTTGCAGCAGCAGCTACCCAACCCCAATACTCCAGATTGACCTGGTGACCAACATTCAGCGCCCTGCTCATTTGCCATTTTTCGTCGTCTCTTTCTCGACTACGGTCCTCGCGGACAAGGTCCTCATAGGCATAGCCTAGCTCTTTTCTGCTCTTGACGAAGAATATTGGTGATGGTGATGGTGGTGGGGGAGGTGTGGAAGGTTGAAACATCCTGGTGAATGTGATAGAGATACATGGTGTGTGTGATTGGAATGAAGTGGAAGATAGGGGGAGAAAAAGACTTTGGGGGGAGAGGGCAACTTACTAGACGGTGTGGCTATTGTTACATTTCTATTGTGCTAACGCTCAATGAAGCACCGAGGTTGAGAATAAGTTTTTGGTGGTGGTATTATGAGGTCAGGCCATAAATAAGCGAGAGTACAATATGGGGGTCAAGCGGGAGGAAGCGAGTCGATTGCCAGAACCACAATCTGAAGGAATAATAAGGTAGGGTATAGACTGTATTCTTGGTAAGTCTACTATTACTATTGTGCATTATGTCAAAGTGAGTTAAGACTTCTTATATCTTAAGCTGTGAGAAGCGAAGAAAGATGACAATGGTTGGGTCTGAGGTTTCAGCCATCGACGTGCACTAATATAGTTGCACGACTGACAGCCAGACATGTTTCTGCCATTGGAAGATTATAGTATCAGGAGCAGTAAAGAATCTCTGTGAATGGGGTGTCCCCCATTGTTTCTAACATCCTAGAACTTAAGCAGCCATTCTACAAACCGTTCTGTACACTCAGAGCCCCACACAGCGCACAACACTTGAATTCAATAAGCTGTTCGTCAAATAGTTCAACGCTGAACACATGGCAAATCACCCATTGCGATAACGCTCATTGCAGCGATCTCGACCTTGGAAGGAATCAGCGCACGCGCTTCAAGCATTCACCCAACTGCAAGCCACTTGTTGATGCAATGACACCGTACTGTGTGTGCTTCAGAAAGAGCAGCAACGCGCATTCCAATGGAAGGCGCAGCTTACGAGCCAAGGACCTGATATGTAGCTGTGCCTAAAATGCAGCTAAGAGTCGCAAGGTAAACAAGGGACTGGAATTTGCGAGCAGGAGCTGTAAGGCTTGGACAGCATATTTAGGATCGTATTCGCTGTGGGAATAAGAATGGCTTCCAACGAGTTCTACGATTTCGATTCAAGTGCAAGAACGTTTCGTATAGACTGTATGAAAGCCATCTAGACTCCCACGCTCCGTCAACTATACCCTTCATATTTATGCTTGTAAATCTCATCATCATCATGATGGGGGCTTTTGGGCTATGAAGCATGGAGCCTGAAGTGGCTTGAATGCCCAAGAGAGCATATTTTGGCATGAACGCCTCAATCTTCTTGCTGCAGATCTCAGGCAATCAAAGTTTAAGCACGGATCTATACGCAATGACATGCCTCTTCAAAGAGAACTAACACAGTGCCTGCCTTGCATATATCCTAGATCATGTCAGCACCCTTTTACGCAATGGACATCATAGTACTTGCACCTTCCTTATGGACAAGCTTAGAAATCTTCCCCTTCTGCGGCGATCGAATTACCGTCTCCATCTTCATGCTCTCAATCCTAAATCACTAATCAGTTCATAACCCTCTCCTACATCTTTCTCATCTCAAGAACCTACACAACAAGCGCCTGGTCCTTCTCCACCTCATCTCCCTCCCTCACCTCATTCCTCAATAATTTACACGGCATAGGCGCCAGCACACTATTTGCGACATCCTTCAATCCCAACGCCTTCTCATACCAGCTCGGCGTCGCAAGCATAAGCTGTATCTGTTTTCCCTGTTGGAAGATTGTGAGTTTATCGCCGTCGGTGATGAGTATGCTTTCGATACGGGTGTGTGGGAAGAATGTTGAGATCGAGGAAGAGCTGGGCTCACAGATCACACTTGGGTAGGTTGTGTCGAGTGTGGGGCTTTTGACAGAAATGTCGAAAATCTTGCGGCCAGATTGGTTCATACTGACTATGACAGGTACTGCATCTTTGTCGCTGGTAAGGAATGTGAATTGTCGTTGGCCTTGAGAACTGAAGCCAATAGCTGTGCCATGTGCACCGACCGGAGGGGCCGCAGAAAGCTCTTTCGAAAGCAGGCCGAGAGCCGCCTGCGCGAATGTCTCTGGCTGTATGATTTCAGAAGCAAAAAGCTCATCGTGGTGCTTCTGTATGTATCCTGTCTCAACATCACCTTTGATGAAGCCCGGACTCTTGCAAATTTTCTTCAAAAATTCGATGTTTGTGCTCAGTCCGACAACCTCGTAATCCTGTAATGCTGCATGTAGTTTCCGTATCGTAACTTCTCTCGTTGGACCGTTGACGATCAATTTCGCAATCATACCGTCGTAGTTTGAGGATACAGTGTCGCCTTCTATGAATCCAGCATCGATCCGTACACTCTCATCAATTTTGGGTTCACGTAAATGTATGAGTTTACCGGAATCAGGCATGAAGTTCTGACTAGGGTTCTCAGCATATATACGTGCTTCAATTGCCCATCCTCGCTTTGAAATACGTTGAGCGATGGTAGCCTGGTCTAAGGGTAATGGTTCGCCGGCTGCGACCTTGAACTGCCAAGAAACAAGATCTTCACCGGTTATGGCTTCGGTGACAGGGTGTTCGACTTGAAGTCGTGTGTTCATCTCCATGAAGAAGAATTCGTTAGTGTCGTTATCGAATATGACTGTCTGACTTTAGTTGGTATGCACATAAGGAGGTCTCGAAGACATACACTCAACGGTGCCAGCACCTTCATATCCGACCGCTAGTGCGGCTGCTCTAGCTTTCTCCCATAGGTCTTGTCTGATATCTTCTGCTAGGTTTGGTGCTGGTGCTTCCTCCAAGATCTTCTGGTGTCTTCTCTGTAGACTACAATCTCGTTCTCCCAATGCTACAGCATTGCCATGCTTATCCGCAAACACCTGCACCTCAATATGTCTCGGCGTTCCAATATATTTCTCTACCAGCATAACATCATCTCCGAATGAGTTTCTACCCTCACTCTTCGCACTCTCCAGCTTATCTAGAAACTCATCCTTGGTCAACACAATCCGCATCCCCTTCCCACCACCTCCCTTCACAGCTTTCACCATGACCGGGAAGCCAATCTTCTTCGCCTCTTCCAGCAGCAGCTGTGGCTCTTGATCTGCGCCATGATATCCAGGTATACACGGCACACCCGCCTTTATCATGATATCCTTACTCCTTGACTTATTCCCCATCGCCTCAATTGCCTTCCACGGGGGCCCAATAAAGACCAATCCCTCCTCGACACACCTCCTAGCAAACGCTGAGTTCTCACTCAAGAACCCATATCCTGGATGTAACGCCTCACAGCCCCTTTCCTTCGCTACCTTTATGATCCGTTCCCCATCAAGGTATGCGTTCGCAGCACCGAGGTTAACAGCAAGGGGGCTCGAGAGTGCATGTTGTGATAGGGCGTCTGGGTCTGTGTATATGGTTGTGCATTTCACGCCTAGAGCAGATGCTGTGCGGCCGACTCGAAGGGCTATTTCTCCACGGTTGGCTATGAGGACAGAGGTTATGGGAGTGGAGGGGGACGTGGAGAGATGGCGAGGGTGGTTGGTGAGGAGGGTTCGAGCGATTGCCCGCGATCGTGAAGCTGGAATCATTGGGGATGCATAAGGTCAAAAGGTCTGGAAGACTCCAATTACATGAGGTATCTGTTGTGGTAGCTACCTATGTACCTACTTTCAGAGAGACGGTCGATGTGACTTAAACCGATGGCAAGCGCTTTTAAAATGCCAAGATGTGGGGGAAAGCTGAGCCGAGGATGCCTGGACGGCTGTTCCAAAAAAAAAAAATTATTAACATTACTAGTAGTCACCCTGTTTACCCATTTCTAGTCAATAAATTTTCACAACAAAAGGTGAAAGTATTTGTTTCATACAGGTCGTACTGGGAATCGAACCCAGATCTTCTGGAGGTTCAGAACATGTCAAAACCAAACGTGCTAGCCTTTACACCATACAACCAGGATATATGAGATATAGTTTACGAAATTTGCACACAATAGACTATATTTTGTGTACTAATGTAGCTTACTCGCTGACGAATCCAAAGTCAGCAAAAGTGAGCCAAAATGTAAAGGTTGCTTCACAGTTGCTCTTTGTTCATCTGCTACTTGTCCAGCTGATCTTTGGGATCCTTGACGTTTCTTTATAAAGTAGAGAGGAAGTATCAATGATGATTAGATTCCAAGACAGATGTGCTGCTACGTTCAATGTTGTTGGAGCATACTCGCTTAAGCCCCTTTTCATGGAATAATAAGCACCCTCTATGTGGCTAACATACTTTTACATCACGCTTCTTCTAATCTGAAGGCTGCAGTTGATCGAGTGGCTTCAATAGATAGGGTGTCGATCGGGCTCAATGATTTTGGTTTTTCTTTGTCCCCGCTCCTATCTACGTAGAGACGCAAGGGAGAAAGTAAGATGTCCGAAACCCTTGCTTTTCCCTGTGTGACTTAATATTTCCCTTTTTGCATAACTCACTAAGAGATATGCACATCACTACCTTCAATCATGTTTCAGCTCATCCTCAACATCGTCCCATTGCTTCGCCTATAATCAATGCTGATCGACAATGCTTACATGAGGCCAGCGACTCTTTAGGCCCGGAAGCCAGTATAGAACAGCTACCGGCAGCAGTTCACACCACAACACCTTCGAATACCACATCTCTTACTGCGTGTGAGAAACAATATATTTATGAGGTTTAATTGCGCATCAGAGAATTGTAACTCCAATTCTACGCCATCTGGCTCGAGGTTCCCTTTTACCAAAAGTTCCAATAACGGAAGCAGACAACATCACTGGTGGATGGTATTAGCCCGTCATCGACGATGATGTCCTATCTTCCAGCCTGTGCCGATTAGACCGTGCCATAACCACACTCAAATCTCCCATGCGTTGCACCCCTGAGCCTGAGTTCCTCCGATTTAGCACCTATTACAAGTTCAGCGAGGAAATGGAGACAAAGGTACTCGAAAGCGCGATGTAGGCGATATATGAGCAATGGGAAAGGAAGTTGAGAATTACGACACAGTGTTACAATGAATTACTCAAAGCGTTTAATTTGTGGGGCGTTTCTTCTCAACATCAGAGATAACAGGGAAGGATTGGAAGATGAATGAGCAGGAGGGCCTGTAGGATGAGTTGAAGAATCTTGGTCTAGGCTACAAGTGGAGGAGAGCGAGGATGTAGTATTACTGATACGACAACGGTTTGGGCTTCCCTCGCAATATGAGATTAAGGGGAACATATCTGTTGACTAGATAAATAGCGTGACCTCATATGGGGCAGCAACCGGTAGGAAAGCTAGGGGAAAGTCATGCTGCTATAAGTCGTAGCTGAGCTATTCCCGCTAAAGCTTTTAACAATTGCTCTTTGATCGTCCACACCTAACGTCTACTACCACTCCTCCCTCTTTTCTGCATAATGTGTCAAAATCCACACAAACCATGTTCCGAATAGCTATTAGGTTGAGACTATGACCACAACTGGCTTCAAATTACTTTATTTACCTGGCTTGCTCTGTTCCTCTCAGAACCAGTTTTTCAGACGATGCCGATATACTGGCAATTACCTCTCAAACCCAGAAGCGAACGAAGTACCTCTACAGCCAGTAGCCACGATCCGGCGGTCACCACACCTCTCCTCCTACCTAAGGCATCAGACCTCAGTAACACCGATAGCAACGAGTCCCGTGAAGACTTCCTCATTGCCGCATGGGACAGATAATGCTATCGCTCCTGGAGCTCCTTACTCAGAGTTTATGGGTCAATCCCCACAATCTGGCGTCAAGCCAGCGTCACCATTGCCTTCAAGTATCTTTTCAAAGATGCCCCCTTATCAATCACTGCTATATCAGCCTGCGCCGGGAAACTGCTTTTCCCCCTGAGTTCGAGGAATTTTGTTCTCAGCATGAGATTAACAGGAACCAGGAAGTGGAAACAAAGGTCCTTGATGGCGTGGCGCTGCGATGGTATGAGACGTGGAATTTATTGCAGAGGATATACTCGCTGTATGCAGCAACGGCCTGTGTGCTATGTATATACATCGTGGTGGTTTTGTCTACTGCGATATAAGCTGAAAAGTCTTCGGGATGGACTGTAAGTGGCGAAGATAGAGAAGCTGTTGAACATGAATCAGCGTTAGATCACGGGATCCATGTGGTAGAGTGCAGCAAGGCTCAATGTGCGAACATTGTTTACGACAAAGACACCCGGAATCTTCGTAGAAGCGTTCATTGTTCATAATCAAGAGCGTCTCCTCCAACGCGGCGGACTGTCGTCCATTGGCTCAACACGTCTTCTCCTCGACCTCCCATCGACCCTATCGCTGTCATACCGCCTCTCTCTACTTTCCCTCCTCGGACTCCTCCTTGCTCTGTATTCCTCCGATATTTGCCTCTCTGTTCGATTCTGTTGTCCATCCTCTCTCCTAGCACTGCCTTCTCTCGACCGAGATCTCCTCCTCTCGCGATCTTCCTCCCTCCTATGCGATGATTTTTCATCTCTATGTTTACCATCGTCTTTCTCTCGATGCGATCTATGACGATGTCGATGTTTCCTCTTCTTCTCACTCTTCTCCCCCTTCCCACCCTTGATCTTCGCTAACGCTTTCACAACCCCTTCTCGCTTCTCTTCTATCAAGAACGCCTTCATAGGGTCATCATCATCATGCTCCGCCAACAACTTCTGCAGTTCTCTCTCTTCCCTCAGCACCGGCCGCTGCTCTTCATCCTTCTCGGTACCATCATTTTCATCGTCATAAGTCAAAAACTGCCCATCTTCTTCGCTATCTTTCTTTTTATACCGCGTGTGGTCAACCTTCAGCGTTCGTCCCATGATCACGCCTCCTCCCATATTATCAACCGCCAAGTCAGTACTACGCTGGTCTTCATACTTGAGGAAGCAGAAACCTCTTGATTTTCCAGTCTCCTTGTCTCGGATGAGATTTATGTAAGTTGGTTCGCCGTACTGCGAAAATATGGTAATGACGTCGCCTTCGGAAAGTGTGAACGGAAGACCGCCAATGTATATGTAGGCTGTGTCGCGGTAGTCCGTATGCCAGGATGCTTCTGGGGAGCTGGCGCCTGAGTTAGCTGTTGTGTAAGAAAGGATGGGGCATGGGAAGAACTTACACGTTGTTCTCTAGCTCACGCTTATTAAGCTCCTGGATCTGCCGTATGCTATTCATGGTGTCTACTTCATACCCTCAATCCCTCCAGAAAGTTGAGAGTTCAAGTGGAATGTCAAGACGGACAGGACAGCCTTGCATGTCTTGGCAGCCGAGCCTCGCCCAGATTTCCAAATTGGGTTGCGTTCAACATGAATTCGGAAGCAAAGACCTCACCGCGTCCACCGAAACAAGACCTGTTGATATCTTCATTCAAACACCCCGAGACCTATGTCACGTAATCGCTGCCTGACCGAACTCCAGAACCCTGAGCAACAGCTACTTGAGGAGCTAGAAGCTCCCCTTAGCGAAGCTCCTGAACCACCGGTCACCTCTCCAATATGGCTTCAAGCCAAAGGACTTCGGCTTACACACAGGCTTCGGGGGGGACTGGAGATGATCGGCCCAAGAGCTTAGATACGAAGAACAATATATGGTCGTCTATGTTGAACAGTGTTTCTAGTGGGAAGAAACTACCTGCGAAGAACATACTGGTGCTGGGTATGCTACCCGTAGCTCTCCCAGTAAATGGGACTTGCTGATGAATGAGTAGGTGGAACTATGGAATCACAGAAGGAGTTTCTAGAAGGGCTGGCGGTGGATGATTCGAGGAAGCTACAGGAAAGATATAACAGCAAGAAGCCGCCGATCGCAAATAACTTTGCGCTTGGATACACATATCAGGACGTTCTGGACGCAGATCACGAAGGTACGTAAACATGCCATGCATCTGGATCCTGCCCTTACAAAGTACAGATATACTAGCCAGAATCTCCATATACCTCCTTGCGGACCCATCACCCTCACTAACGCCTCTGCTCCAACCACTTCTCACGCCTGCAACCATAGACAACACACTTGTAGTTATACTATTAGACTGGTCTGAACCATGGTTTTGGCTGCGAGAGCTGCAGAACTGGATACGGCTTCTCCGAACGCTTTTTTCTTCACTAGAGGGCGACTGTAAAGAAAAGATGGAAGCTGTGATGTTGAGCTGGCGAGATCGGGGAAGAGGGGCACATAGTCTTGATGGAGGAGGGTCAAGTGGTACGAATGAGGGGGATGTGAGTCTGCCATTGGGACCGGGAGAATGGGAAGAGGCACTGGGACTGCCTCTATGTGTGGTTTGTCAAAGTGTGAGATGCCCCTGGTGATATATTGAGCAATCGCTAACAAGAAATTAGTCTGACAAGATCGAAACACTTGAGAAAGAACACGCATGGCGAGAAGAAGAGTTTGATATCGTCCTCCAATTCATGCGAACCGTCCTCCTGAAACGTATGTCTTCCTACATCTCTACCAGCACCGACTAACAATGCCAGACGGCGCCTCCCTGATCTACACAATCCCTTCCGTTACCTCCCCTCTCCAAAGCCTCATCCACTCCTCTCTCGGCATCCACTCCCTGCTCAAGAAGCAGCCGCTAAAACACAACGTCATCGACCGTGACAAGGTAGTTGTGCCGCCCAACTGGGATTCTTGGGGTAAGATCCGCGTGTTGCGTGAAGGATTTGACGTTGAGGCCGTGAACAAGGGCTGGTCTCTCGACATCGAGGAATCTTACCACCCTCCTCCTACCGCCTCATCAGATTCTGATGTTCTACCCAGCATTGAAACCCCAGCTGCGATGAGCGGCAGCGCAGTGCAGATGTACGAGGAGATCATTCAAAATCCCGCACTCGATGTACCCTCCACCACCAACGAAACCAAACTCGAAGTGCAAAGCCTCTCCCCACAAATTTTCCTCGCGAGTCAGTTCGAGATACTGGAGAAGCTCAAAAACGACAAATCAG